TTAGTGTGTAGAGACAGCCGATGATGAGGAACTAGTTGCAAAGGGATGCATATTTCTTCGCTCAACCTGTTGTTTGCTTGTTTTTCTAAATGCGTAAATGGGAATTTTGAAATTAAATATTCAAACTATGTTCTAAGTCTCAGGAAAAAACAACAGACTACATGGAGAATGATACTTTTTCCTTGGAATTGTTGATCACATACTAGAACAGGATAAAATTAAGAAAACACAAACAACAACAGAAATCGTACAGTCTTCTACATTCCATGCGTGTACGAGTAGAACACACAGACTTTAAGCTTTACAGTTTCCGTAGCGCTCGGGTTGCCAGTCTCACACTTGACCTTCCATCCTTTCTGAGCTTAGGACAGGGTTAGTAAGCTAGGCGGCAAGGTTTAAGATTATATCGGTTAGGAAACCAACTCAGACCTTCTTCGCATAGTTAAAACAAGCAACAATAAAAGGTGTTAATAAAGCAGGATGATTTAATGAATTCATCAAATTTCGGTAGAACTCTTCTTCAGATGAATACTCTACATACAGGGATATATATATATATATATACATATACTATTGTAAATACATTGGGAGACAATTATACATCTCATCCAACAGTTGTACGACAATGCTGCATGCCAAGTAATCCACAAAGGGGAAACCCACAATGAAGACGAGGGTAAGAAAAGCTGGCTGGCTGCCTACTATCTCCAATGTTTTTCCTGATTGCAGTACATTGGATGATGCAACAAACAGCGGGAAATGACGAAACAGGCATAAAATGGAGTCACGCAAAAAACTTGGAGGATCTGGACTTAGCCGATGATTTATGTCTGATTTCCCACAAACTGGAAGATATGCAAGCGAAAAGCAACAAGTTGGCAGAAGAAGCATCAAAGAAAGGACTTCAGGTGAACATAGAGAAAACAGAGATGATGAAGATTCCTGGGCAACACCACCAACAGCAACAACAACAGACGACAATCATCATAAATGGGGGAAATCTGAAAGAAACAACCTCCTTTACCTACCTACCTGGGAAGCATCGTTTTAACTACAGGCGGACGGAAATGATGAGGATATCAAAGCAACGAGGATTGGGAAGGCAAGACAAGCTTTCATTACTCTCAAGTCTGTTGGGGGGTCAACAGCATTCACATGAAAAATAAGATCCGGATTTTCAACTCCAATGTAAAGTCAGTGCTACTATACGGATCAGAGACTTGGCGCGTCATGAAGAGCACCTCAAACAAACTACAGACCTTCATCAACAGCTGCCTTCGCTCAATACTCAAGATCAGATAGCCAGAAAAGATCAGCAACAGGGAGGTATCTCTGGCAATGAACGAACTAACCCATCAGGAACCGACTGTGCAACAAATCTGCAGGAAGAAATGGAGATGGATTGGCCGTACTCTAAGGAAACCATCAAGTGACATCACTAGACAAGCCATTGCTTGAGTGGAACCCGAAAGGGATGCAGCGATTCGGTCGTCCAAGGGTGACTAGGAGGAGGTTATGTGAAGAGGAGATGAAGGCGTGTGGGCAGACTTGGAGCCAGGTGAAGACTCTAGCAGAGAACCGAACGCAGTGGAGACGAGCGGTTGAAGCCATATGTTCCTCTAGGAATTAAAGGAAACAATAATAATAATCAGGAAATAAAGGTTTCCAACACTCATCAATCTCTCTCATGGGTGACGGACTAATTTTGTCACCTATATTTATCAAGTGGCAAAGCAAATAAATGTCATATTTAGAATAATTCATAGGATGGATAGAACTTGAAAAAGTGTTTGCAATTATAGGATTAATAGACAAATCGAATAAAATAAAAACGTTACGTAATATTGTGTGAAATTTAATAGCATAGAATTTAATGTTGCATAAAAGAATTGATTTAGAATGACAAGTCGAACAAGTGAAATAATACCTGGGACAATTAAAAGTGAGAGTAGTAATAGTAACAAGTTCTATCCATCCTATGAATTATTCTATATATGACATTAATTTGCTTTGCCACTTGACATTTAACTACGATTATAATCACAAACATTTTAGTTTTAATTGCATTTCATACCTATATTTATCTCTGACACCAAAAACTTTCTAAATCCTAACTGTAAGTGCATCCATATGACCACATATTTAGGATTACGAATTCACTAAGAAGACACCCTTTTTGTTAAAAAACTTCATATATCAGTACAATACAGAGACTACCATGGGAGTCTTTACAAAAACTGAGTGCATCCGTCGAATTTTGAACTCGACTTTAATTCAACGGTAATATTAGATAAATCAGACTATTTGAAGAAGGTGAATACCTTCATACCAACAGGATCATATGAGGAAATTAAGAAATCAATAGACACCGTTATGAATAAAGTTGAGAAATTCACAGCGGACCTTATACGCCAAATGAAGCCGTTTCTAGATGAGTCTAAATGGTGTAATTTAAAGCCGGAAACCATTAACCCTGGTAGGATGTATGGTGTTGTTAAAGTTCATAAGTCAGGATACCCTATTAGACCTATAGTTGATTTTAAAAATCCCCCTACTTATGAATTATCTAAATATTTAGCCATGGTATTAAATCCCCTAAAGACCCACTCGAAATCTAGACTAACAAATTCTTACTAAATAAAACATAGATTAGATAATTTAAAATTAGATAATGAAGAAAGAAATGGTTAGTTTTGACGCTGTCAGTTTATATACACGTATACCGATAAATATGGCTATAGAGGCAGTCAGAAACGAACTCACTTTTTAATCAAGGACTTGAAACTAGAAGCGAAGTACCACTAGATGACATAATGCTAGGATGACTAATTGTTTATTTGAGTGATGTAATTGAACCGTAATGTATTTTATCTTAATTTTAATCTCTCATACTCTCTTCCCATTATGTATTTGAACATGACCTGAAAAACATTCACATTTGTCATTTTGTTTGATGAATTCAATGCAGTTTATTTGCTTACTTATCAGTCTTATATCTCCCAATGTATTTCTAATAGCATACAACATATATCCCTGTAGGGGATATCGGTGATCCCATTGCACTATTAAAACACATAAGCCAGGTTACCCCATACGGCGAATAGCAGATTTCAGAAATACCCCTACTTATGAATTATCAAAACACTTAGCTCTAATATAATGTCCCATTAGAAATCGTTCAAACTCTAGGCCAGCTAACGAATTCATATGAGATGAAAAATAAACTAAATAACATTCAACTAGAGAATGATGAAACATTGGTTAGTTTTAATATAACCAGTCTTTATACTAATATACCAGTCAATATGGCCTTAGAAGCAGTTAAAAAAGAACTAACTGCGGATACTGAACTCAATCATAGGACAAAGCTGTCCATTGAAGAAATTATTTTAGGGATTCAACTATGCCTCACATCTACTATATTTAAATTCCAAGGCAAAATATATAGACAAACAGAAGGTGGAGTAATGGCGTGGATCACCAATATCCCCTATCGTAGCAGATGTATTTATGAACAGCTTGGAAAATATTGCTATTAATACATTTAGTCCTACTCCAAAAATATGGTGGAGACATGTGGATAAGACTTTCACTCACATTATTAAAAACAGAACATATCTCTAGCTTCTTGACACATATAAACTCACTAGAAAAGGGAATAAAATTCACAATTGAATCAGAGAATAATTAAAGGGATTTAGCTATGTTAGATTGTAAAATAAAACGAATAGAAGAAGGTAAAATACACACTAGTGTTTATAAAAGACCAATGCATTCTGCTAATAGATATTTAGACTTTAATTCATCTCATCCTTTAACTGTTAAGGCAGGCTTAGTTAAATGTCTAACAATCCGAGCAGTAGCACTAAGTAGTACAACAAAAAACCTTAACGATGAAATGAAATAGATAGAAGAGGCGTTGGTGTTAAATAACTATCCTATAAAATTCATTAGGAAGATCAGGATAGGTCAAAAGCAAATTAAAAATAATTGTGAAACTAGTAATGATAACAGAAGTAAGAGAGAATATAAGTAAGAATATTTAAGAATATAAGGGGCAATCGGATGGTCGGAACATACGAATTTAACTAAAGTAAGAATGGTTGACCCCGAGAAGATAAGCAATTTAGAAAAAAAGCTCAGCAATTGCACTGTATGCATTAACACACAACCACAGGTGGGACAGAATGAAAATTCTAAGAAGTAATATAAGCAGGTGGAAAGAGAGATTGATTACTGAATCCTCGTTCATTGAGTCTACACCCAACACATGCAGAAGAAATGACTCAATGCAAATACCAGAGATATGCATGGAAGATATTATTACCGCTAGTCAGTCAAATCAGAGGAGGATAATAAATAATCTTAAAATTCTATTTCAATTCAAGCACATCGCAACATTCTAACATGTTAATTATTATGACTATAAAAAACACTCGTCTTATTTCCCATCTGATTGTATGTGATCAATAACACTCGTATTATCATTTCTGAATGTAAATTATCCTACATTAACTTTTATTTAAATGTCTAATCATCAATTCCACTCATGTATATAAATGAAGCAAGAAAGTTGTGTGAGTGAGTGACTTGATATGATTATGAGTGGCAATAGTTTGTGGTCGAAACGTGGTCATCAGTTAATATTACTGTATAACACTACACTGTGTGACACTTTATCAAAATAAAATCTTATCCATAATGGAGTTATACTCGACCACCACAGTGCCCAAGTTTTATACTTATATCAAGCACCAACTCTCCGACAACTGAAACCAACTTGTATTTATCCTACGATATACATTATAACGAAGTTGTGCAATATATATATATATATATATATATAGTTATCAATACAATATAAATATGCCACACACACACACCCTAGCATCACGCCACCCCCCAACCAATAGGGAGAAAAATAATGTCAATCACCAAGTATAATTAAATGTTAGGGGTGGTGGCGATGGGGAGGGGTGGTTCAAGAAAAAAGTAAATCTTCTAGATGAAGTTTTATTTGTAATTCTCTTTTTTTCTTCTGTCAAAACGTTTTCATCTTATGTACAACAAGATAAACGGTTACATCTAGTATTGATAACTTTTGATATTTTTATTCTAATGTGGTTGTGGAACATGCCCATCAACATAAAAGTTTCTTGTAGCTTTCGGCAATGTGACTTTCATTCCGTCCAACTCTTCGGTTAAAGTTATCTGACAAGCTAAAAAAGGAGAGAAAAAAGAGGAAAAGAATAGTGTGAATTAAAAGATGTTGATCTTTTCGGCGATTTCATTTTCAAAAATAGAGATGTACAATCGCATTTAAATACATAATTTTACATGGATACAATTCTTGTTTGATTCCCCGACGGTGAATATGGTTCATGAGGGGCTTAGAAACAAAATTACACAGGATTTAATTTGTGGATGGTGACTAGCAGTGGAATCAGGGATGCGCATTTCGTCCTACTTAGGACTCGTCAACTGGATGTACTTCATAGAACGGATAACAAGTGTGTAAAAATGAGCATGGGAACAAAAATTGAAATAATAATTTTCCTCTTGAGATGGGAGTTAAGAGGTGCGAATATAGACTACAAGAACCTATGAAACACAAAAATTGCACAGAATTAAGATATAATTGTAAAATAGTTAATTTTTAAACGAATTATAAATGTGAACAGGGAAAGCATGGAAACAAACTTAAAATAACTGTTTTTATAACTGAAAAAATGGGGTGAATCAAATGAAGACAGAAGGTGTACGAATCACATACAGCGAACGAAGGAAAGAAAAAACGGAAGCTAAGGGTGTAACAATAGAAGACAAGGGCCAGGCAACAGATCGTTTATTAAGAAAATCAACACATATTTATAGCTTTTCATGTACATTATTATAGATTATTGTTAGCAGAAAAACACAGTCTTCTGATCGGTGGTTTCTAGCTGAAAGTTAATCTTTCATCTCTTTGTGGCTGTTTCTTGAAGGTCAGATCATCTCTATGCTAATTGTATACGCCTACGCAAAGTCTGCTGTGGTTGGTTGTTGAATCAGTCTTTGTTCATATTTTTCTCACGACCAATATTGAGGACGTAAACATTGACGTAAATTACCATATACCAATTTGGCTAGCAGCCAGCTCTCACCACAAGGGAAAATACCGAACTAGGTCCCTGGTAGTTGTATAGGTTGGACTAATTTCTTTTGAACACACAGCTCCGGCTACTCGATGCATATTGCGAGGGCTTCTGCAGTACAGAGAAGTCGGAAACATACTGCTTTTGATAGGTTTTTGTTGACTTTGTAAATTACTTTGAAAGAATCAGTTGAGATGTTGTGGGAGGTGTGTTGATCAGATGTTCAATAATGGCACTTCTGATTGAACCGGTGCCTCCTCTTTGCAGCCACGCTGGGTAATGTTCTCCAACACGTTTTGAAAGGATGCGCATACAACGACCTATGTACCTAGCTCCACACGAGCCAATGAACTGGTCCTACGCGTTGTTTCGAAGTATTGGACGGCTAGAGAATGTCACTTTTAGTGTTGCTGCAGGGAAAATCTTCTTTAAAGAGCTGGATATTGGCTCATTTTCTATACACCTGTAATTCGCTATAATCCCGTGTGATTTTGTTTCTAAGCCTCTCGTAAACCATATCTAGTTGAAAATAATTGTCACCTTTTATTCGCCGTCGTAATTTATGTGGAATCAAACAAAAATTGTATCCATGTAAAGTTATAAATTAAAAGACTCATATCCTTTAGCTAATTTATGAAAACTTTGAATACAACCAATTTGACCAGGTTTGAAAGATTTATTTCTTATAAATACGGCTAAAAATACTACCAACTATATGTTATAACAAAACAATTCAAAGGGGTAATCGATAAATGTTAGTTAGGTGTAAGTAAAACGATGCATCCAGCTGAATTGACTCATTTAAAACTGAAAAAATTAACACAATATGCTTTTATTACAGGATTTCATCATGAGCTGACACATCCGGTTAGAGAACCACTGGAGTACTGGACAGCCAGCTATTTCGTCAGCTCAGTTTGGAACTCTTTATCAGCACGCACCCACCCCACTGCCAGGGTTCGAACCCAGGACCTTCCAGTTACAAGGCAGACTTGTAGACCATTAAGTCTAACTGACTGACTTCAACATAGAACTTCTCACAGATGTGCAGCAGTTCGAGTCGCTACACTCCCTCCATGTAGCACACAGAGCAAGAGAAGAAAATAAAAAGAAATGGAAAAATAGTGATAGTAAACAGAGATACGAAGCAAAAAGAATAGTAATATCGAAGAACAATATAGTTCTATTTTGGGTATTATTATTTATTTATTTATTTAAACGCAGAAAAAACTTGGTACAATATGGCACCAAGAAAGATGCGCCACACAATAATAATAAAACAACATAGATTAAAAGTAAAAATATAAGTAGAAAACGGATAAAGAACTTCATTTGGAAGGAAAACAGTCATACTTAACAAGTTCAAACAGTATTCGCTAACTATCATCAGGAAGGGAAGAAAGAAGGAAATTGCATCACATTCGCCATTGATTACGATTCTTGGCCATATCCGATAACGTTTCGAGCTATCTCGCGGACCCCAACCAGGGATTCGTGACGCAGCAACCGATGGGAAATAAGACGAGTGTTTGTATAGTCGAAATAAGTAACTTGTTAGAATGTTGTGATGTGCTTGAATTGAAATAGTATTTTAAGATTATGTATTATCTTCTTCTGATTTGACTGACTAGTGGTGATAATATCTTCTATATCTCTGGTATTTGCATTGAGTCATTTCTGTCGCATGTGTTGGGTGTAGACTGTGAGGTCAACTATATAGGTCAAACTAGTAGATCGGGGGTAATCAGATTGTCTGAACATAAGAATTTAGTGACTAAGGTAAGAATAGTTGACCCCGAGAAGATAAGTAATTTAGAAAAAAGCTCAGCAATTGCACTTCACGCACTAACACACAACCAAACAATAGAGTGGGAGAGGGTTAAGATTCTAAGAAGTAATCTATGTACATGGAGAGGGAGATTGATTATTGAATTCTGGTTCACCCAACACATGCAACAGAAATGACTCAATGCAAATACCGCAGAGATGCATGGAAGATATTATTACCACCAGTCGGTCAAATCAGAGGAGGATAATAAATAATCTTAAATTGTATTCTATTTCAATTCACGTACATAATAACATTCTAACAAGTTACTTATTTATTTTGACTATAAAAACACTCGTCTTATTTCCCATCTGATTGTATTTGATCAATAACACTCATATTATTTCTCAATGTACATTATCTTATATGGATTTTTATTCAAATGTCTAATCATCAATTCCACACATGTATATAAATGAAGTAAAAAGTTGTGTGAGTGACTGACTTGATATGATTATGAGTGGCAATAGTTTGTGCTCGAAACGTGGTCGCATCAGTTAATATTACTGCATAACACTGTGTGACACTCTATCAAAATAAAATCTTATCTATAATGGAGTTATGCTCTACCACAGTGCCCAAGTTTTATACTTATATCTTTTTCCAATTTTCATCTCAGTTTTCTATTTTTTGTTGTTACTGATATAGATGTCTAAGAGTAAAGGTAATCATATTGATCCAATGACTGAACAATACAACTGATTATCCGAAGAAGTAAAAAATCTAACCCCTGATGAATCCGATGTCCTACGATATGTTCTGCTACGTCAACCATTACTTTCATTCGATGGATCGTATAGTCGAGAAATGGCAAGAAAATTAGTGAATACAGAACTTGTCAATTGGATTGGTAATCTACTTTCTCGGTATGTGAGATTTTTGTTTTCGTGAAGGATTGTATTTCAAAGGATAAATGTATCTGCTTGACTAAATAGATCCTAGTAAACTGTATCATCGGTATACTGTCATTCGGATCCATACGAAGAAGAAGGAAAGATTGTTTCTTTATACATTGATGTTATTCCTGAGTCTCCCGCATTTCAAGCAAAGCAGAACTATTAACACGCTCTGACAAGGGTGCAGGTGTTGTTATTATGGATAGTAAAGATTACATTGATAAAATGTCACATCTACTTTCAGACAGCAGTAAATTCTCGAAACCGAACGAGAAAAACAAGACGGAATTAATCGAGAAACAAATTACCGAAGCTTTTAAAAGAATAAAGAACAATCATCTCATTTGTGAAGAACTGTACGAAAAGATTAGACCAACAGGATCTCTAATACCAAGACTTTATGGTCTACCGATGATACAAGAAGCTTCGGTAATTTGTTTCTCGATTAATTCCGTCTTGTTTTTCTCGTTCGGTTTCGAGAATTTACTGCTGTCTGAAAGTAGATGTGACATATTATCAATGTAATCTTTACGATTCATAATAACAACACCTGCACCCATGTCAGGGCGTGTTGTTATGTGTCAACAGTTTAAGTTCTCCTTTGTGCTGTTTAGTCAGAAGACTGCATTTTTGGCCTTCCACTCCACCCTATCTTGGATATGTCCGGATCACCTTATCATCCAGTAGCTGCGTGGTTAGCTGAAATCCTCGAACCCGTCAGGGGACAACTATCTAATCATTCCCTTCGTGACACCTTCCAATTTGTTGAATGTATACAGGATATAAATGCTTCGGATAAACATATGTTGTCTTTGAATGTAGAATCCCCTATTCACGAACGTTCCACTGACAGAAACCATATATTTCATATGAATATCTCTCGCTCTTTTCTCATATATGCATGCATGTATACATCATGTAACATGAGACACGCAGGAAAATCAAAATACGACCAAAACCCAAACTAAGCTGATCCAAACAGCTGGAACTCCAGTACGGTTTTCTAACTGTTGTCACTTTATGATAAAATCCTGTAACCAATCAATCAAATCCCTACAAGCCAATACTCGAAAAGCAGTATGCTTGATTTTCGACTGAATATTCCTCGAATCAAGTTGACAATTTACACATTTCGAGGTGAAATTTCAGCAGGTCGGATATGAGGACAAATACTCGCCAAAGACATTGGCTAGCGGTTGTGCTATGTCGTGAATTGGCAGAAGTTAGAATTCATGGGCCATTGGATTGGAGGGTCCCAGTGGTTCAATGGTATACGAGCTCGCCTTGTAACCAGAAGGTCCTGGGTTCGAGTCCCGGTGGGTGCGTACTGATGGAGAGTCCCAAACTAGGACGAAACAGCTGTCCAGTACTCTCAGGTTTTCCAATGGTTTTCTAACTAATGTCAGCTCATGATGAAGTCCTATAACCAATCAAATCCCTACAAACCAACACTTGAAATTTCATTATATTTCTCTTTCTAGGGAATCAAAATTATTCAGATCACAGTAAGTGATCTGCTTGATACCAAGAAATAAAACATTAACGCATACAACTATGTACTACTGATGAATTGAAATGAGTAGTTGTTGAATTGTACTCAGTAGTAGTAGTACTGTTTGATGGCCAAACTGAAATGTTCTTAATGTCGGACAAACGTTTCATTCGTTTGCAGTTGAGATTATATCAGCAGTGTACAGGGCGGGGGGGGGGGGTGACTCAGCTCGTAGAGCAGTTTTCACAGTAGTTCAAAACATTTGTGAATTGTGAAAATTACAAATTAATTTTTCAAATTGTGAAACTGATTTGAAATTGAGTGCTTTGAATTGATTCAACTCTCTGAAATGAGTCAAAAACGGGGGTATACACTACTGATGAGCTCAGTTTCAAAGGAGTCGGATCAGCAAACACTACTTGGTTTTATACAACTACTGACCTCACTGAATCAGTAGTATATGGTTTTTCGCGAAATTCTGTTATTGTAGAGAACATATTCAAATATCTCACCAGATAATATCTTTATTCAAGTGTTGGTTTGCGCGGGGATTTGATTAGTTTCAGGATTACATTATGAACTGACATCGGTGAGGGGACCATTGGAGAATCTAGGAGTACTGAACAGTTGTTTCTTTCTAGTTTGGGACCCTTCAGCTCTCCTTGTAACCAGAAGGTCTTGGGTTTGGGAGTCGGCAGTGGGGTGGGTGCTTACTGATGAAGAGTCCCAGACTAGGCTGACGAAGCAGCTGGCTGTCCAGTGCTGCAGTACTGGTTATTCAAAGGTCCTCTAACCGATGTCAATTCATGATGAAATCCTGAAACCAATCAAATCCCTGCAAAACCAACACTTGACTTGAATATCAATCTGATGCTTACTAACAACTGGCTCTGTTTGGACAAGCAGTTAACTGGGTTCTAGTGAGAAGCCATGACGAGTAGGGTGGGTACAGCAGGTCGTCAGTTATGAGGGTAAATACTCGCCAGCAATGACATTCACTACTGCCAGTCACGACAGAAGTCTTAACATCTCTACTGTTTACCATACCTTGAGCAGCAATCTTCGTATGTTTGGCATGCGATTCGTCCCTGTAAAATGTAAGATGCTGCTACAGGACTGGACTAGCTTAGAGATAGGGAGTGAAGTGATAGAACATGTTGACCACTTCACCTACTTGGGAATTTGTATCAGCACCAACGGACTGATTGGCGACGACGAAATCTCAGCACGGATCCAAAAAGTTCGAGCTGCTTTCGCTAACTTACACCATCTCTGGCGTAGGCGTGACATCCGGCTATCAACCAAGGGACGTGTGTACTGCTCAGCGTTTCGCTCCGTCCTTCCCTATGGCTCTGAAACATGGCCAATACGAGTTGAAGACATGAAAAGGTTGACTGTTTTTGATCATAGATGTCTACGATCTCTTTCTCACGTTAGGTGGTATAATAAGGTAAGTAATGTTGACGTTAGGCGTAGAGTGTTGGGCAAAGAGGGAAAATCAATCGAAGAGGCTATAAAGTTACATAGATTGAGATGGTTAGGTCACGTGCTGAGCATGCCTAACCATCGCCTCCCCCGACGGACGGGCATTACTAGCTGATATAGGTAGGTGCAGGTTGGAAAAGAGTAAGTGGTGGCCAAACAAAAACATGGCATCAAGCCATGAAATCCCTGACAGTTAAACTGAGTCAGGTAGGGAGATGAAGACTTCCGGGTTGGGGCCCTCGGGACTCTAAGAATCAATGGCTGGAGACAGACAATAGGTGGCATGGCTCAAAATCGTTGTCAATGGCTTACGCAGATGTATTCAGTCTCTGTAATCTTTCATATTCCTTTCTACCATTACTCATTCTGTTTCACTCTTATACTTGTCAAAACTCTATTGATTCTCTTCACTCATCTTCTTGTCTACCTTTGTGTGCTATTTGGAACGTGGCAACTTGAACTGCTGCACTTCGGTGCCAAGTTCTATGTTGAATGTAGACAGACAGACAGAACGTTGGGCATGCGATTTGCTCTTGCTGTCAAACGTAAGATGATGAGGCTACAGGACTGGACTGGACTACACCGATTCCTGGCTTAAAGACAGAGAGGAATGAAGTGATGGAGCATGTTGACCACTTCACTTATATGAAGGGAAGTTCTATCAGCCCCAACAGCGGATTGATCTGGTTGTTAACAAAATCTCAGCACGAATACAGAACGCTCGTTCGGTATATACCTGACAACTTACGCTATCTTGGGCGTAGATGTGATATCCACTTGGCTGGCAGTGAGACATGGTCAATGAAAGTGGAAGGTACGGAAATGCTACCTGTCTTTGATCATAGGTGTCTGGGTTCTATCTCCCGTGTGTGTTAGGTGGTGGTATAATAAAGTGAGTAATATTGAGGTTAGACCTCCATCGAGTGCTAGGTGAGTTGGAAGGGAAATCAATCGACGAGGTTGTGTAGCAGGTGAATCAATTGAGAGAGATGGTTAGGACATATGTTACACATGCATTCCTAGCCATCGATCGCCTTCCTCGACAAAGGACACTGCTAGCTGACTGTCGTAAGATGGATCAGGTTGGAAAAGAGTTAGCTAGTGGTGGTCAAACGAAAATATGGCTTCATCAGTCAATGAAGTAAATCCACAACAGTCCGTTTACGTCACGTAGGGAGGCGTAGACTTCCTGGTTGGGGTCCTCGAGATTGTAAAAACCAATAGCTGGAGACAATTGGTTATATGGCTCAAAATCGGCGTTCTTAATGGCTGGTGCAGATGTATTCACTCTTTGTGATTTTTCATATCCAATAAAATTCCATTATTCTTCCATATTGCTATTCTTTTTACTTCATATTTCTGTTTATTATCTCTCTTCTTTTGCTTTGTGTGCTACAAGGAGTGAGTGTGGTCACTGGAACTGGTGCACATCTGTGCAGAGTTCTTCATTGAAACCAGTCAGTCAGTCAATTGACAGCAGTGAAAGTCAAAGTAATAAATGTATGTATGCATTACACAGTTATAATAGGTCACTTGTAAAAGTGTTTTCAATAAGCGACTGCACGACTATATATATATATATATATATATATAGTTTAATCACTTATCACGGATTAACGAGACAGAAATTTATATGGTTTTGAAACTAGTACCTAATTAAAATTAACAAGGATTAATGGCATTTTTTTCTTATTCCTTTACGTTCCCGGTGGTGGAACATAGGGCGGCTTCAAGCTACAGACTTGAAGTATCGGTAGCAGTGGTGTTTATTCATTTTTACGGGATGGCGTTGCTAGCCGCCTCATGCCCAACCTTCCCTCTTTACCAGTCTTATTACTTACTGGCTTAGCGAGGTAAGGCAATGCGTCTGTTGGCCGGGGATCACATCCCGAACCACCTGTGGCGTGGTTGGTGACCATTCTGTCGTTGTGCCACCGATGCACAATGGCATTTTACTATCCTGTATGACTGTATGTAAGGTTCCCAATGAACTGTAATTACGAGTTGATCACGGATTGATATCAGTTAGAGAACCATTGAAAACCAGCACTGGAGTACTGCCGGACAGCTGTTACATCCTAGTTTGGGAATCACCTACTGGGTTTCGAACACAGGACCTTCCGGTTACAAGGCAAGCTCGTATACCATTCAGCCACTGGGACCCGATTCAATGGCCAGTGCATGAATTCTAACTTCTACCGATTCGTGATATAGCGCGACCCTAACCAGTGTCATCGGTGAGATATCCATCCTTACACGTGACATCTGGATGGACCTCACTGATCACGACTTCTCACTAGAACTCCAGGAAACTCCATCCTGTAGCAAGTCACTAGCGAGCATCAGATTAATTTTCTATAGTTTGGTTTGTAAGAATTAGTTATGTTTTTTTACAAGTTGAACACGGATTGATATCAGTTAGAGAACCATTGAAAACCAGTCAGGGAGTACTGGACAGCTGTTTCATCCTAGTTTGGGACTAGTTGAAAGTTGAAAGCGTAAATTAATGAACCGAATAACCATCTATGCATACCATTTACACAACACATAAATCTTCATAATCAAGAATAAACTGCATAACAAGTACTTCAAAAACAAAAAAACACACACACACAACACATTTACAAAAAATTAACATACATAATCTTGAATTTTCTTGTAAAAATACAGCTAAATCTAACATATCTTCTTCAGCTTCACAAGCAGGTGGTAATTGATCATAAAACTTTTCTTCAACATATACATGACAAGTGGAACACGCCAGTGAAGCTTCACATGCTCCTTCAATTTCAATATTATGTTGACGAGCCAGAGTCATTAAATTTTCGCCAACTTTCCCTTCAATACTTTTAACATCACCGTTACGATTGATAAAATTCACACGTACACTAAAAGTGAACACTGTTAACGTTTATGATTTAGCGAGAACTACATTTTAGAAGTAGCAGGAGCAGCCGAAGCAGAAGTAGCCGTAGTAGTGGTAGAGACTTCACCATATTTTCTTAACTCTATCAGGGGTATGTAAAACAAAAAAAAGAAATGGGGAGTTGCTTACGATTGTAAAATAAGGTGGAAAGATGATGTCTGAAGCATCGAATTTTATGTAACACAAGGGGCATTTTATATGCATTGAGGAGAAAAAAAGATGCTTGGTTCGATTGGTCCTTAAGAGCGTAAAACAACACCAATTAGTTAGTAGATCTGTGGAAAGAAGACAAAAAAAATACAAGAATTATTAGTCCATCATATGGGGTAACCAAACTGTTAAATATCTGAGTAAAGTATTTTAAAACTGAAAATATAAGTCGAAATAAATTATTCAGTTATATTCATGTTACTGAATTGAGAAGTGCAGACCAAGAGCTGCATGTAGGTTTGTATAATTGGTTGGTTGTCTGTACACCTGCACATGTTTACAATAGTTGCAATATACAACACTGCCTGGATGCTCAAGCATGAGTAAGGGTGTTAAGTTTTAAATAGACGGCATATTAGTTGAAAGGGAGAGCATTACACGGAAGAGTAATAACTTCATAGGCCAAGTCAAAATTTTTGAGCAAGGATTCAAAGCCCCACTCAGTCAATAAAATACTGTTAGCCACATAGTTTTTGAACACAATACTCGAGGGTTGGTAGATAAAATCTATACTACTGAAATCACTACTGACTTTATGAATTGAAATCATGCACCCATTTGACTATTTCTGTCATTTTTGTAAAATAATCCAAAGTCAGGATGTGCAGCATGTATCGTAATCGCCCCGTTAATTCACTAACCTTATCAGACTATTACTATCTAACCTCAACATTTTACTTTAGGTTTACTGCACACTAATATGCAAGGAAAAATAAAGTATAATCCACAAAATTTCATGCGCTGTAACACGGGTAAACTCAAAAACATACACCCACTTGCACTCACATCAGAGGTTTAACAAAAATACGCAAACGACTATTTAGAAACGAGAAGAGAGAATGAATAAGGAGTTGAAGGTTTGGTGCCCATGAAAAATCGGTGTTAGGTAACTGCTGTAAAAATTTCTAAATAAATGCACCGAAATTCAACGCCTACTAGCAATTTTTCGGCATCATTACGGCGCCCTAAGACCTGATTCAGATTTGGCTAGCATTATTTCAGAACTTCAGATTCAGATAATGGTATGTGTTAATCCTCGGTGCACTAGTTAAGCGTCCGATGCTGTTCTTAAACACCAAACCGATTATTACAGCATACACTAGGTTTTATAAGTACTCAAAATATTCACTCAGCATTACACCACATTATCGAAGCCTAGTTAAGAATTAGGTAAGCATTATTGTGAGCTTGCGTCCAAGCTTACAATATGTGTATGGATATGCATACCGGTATGCACATGTGCATACATCCTGCGGGAAGCAGATTAGGAAGACAACTGGTTTTTGGCGGGATCGAGGTAGATCAAAGAACAAAATCAATAACATAAAAGGGTCGCAGAATAACAATGATCCATATGGATCATTGCTAAGAGAGCAACGATATAGTTGCTTTTTAGCTCAAAGACAGCACAAAAGCCAACTGTAGTGGCTACTGTAGTTTAAATTCACCGATAAAAAGATGAAAACTAACACAAATTATTAATAAAAGTAGGCAACCAGGCATCCCATTATAATTTGCTCATTATTCAAAGTGACCTTGAAACAACGTGTACTTCAATTTGCCCGCTCTTTTGTTCCAATATCCAATATCCTGATTACGAGCTAGTATAAACCAGTGATTTCTTTGAGCTCGCTTCTTGATTGGAAGGTAGAGGTTCCAGATCTTCGGTGAACTTATGCGTAGTAAATCCCGCCACTCTGGTAGACTCCAAGATGAGTGTTACCTGGATTGCTCGAAATGCGGTTTGTAGTATGCAGAATGTTACGACTGTGTTGCTGCCGTGAATGGAGTTTGACCTAACTCCCGCTGGTTATTCGGTGTATTCATGAAAGCAGAATAGTAATAATAACAGGTTGTAGTGTAGATAATATAGGTTGAGATAAGTGAAATAATAAAGGTGACCTAAGGAAAAGATAGAGTAGTCGGTACAGTGAGAGAAGACAGAATGGGTAGTGGGGATTTAGTTTGTATGCTTGTCCATTGATAGTGTGGTTTTAAATTTTAAAAGGATAAGCCATTGAGACACAAACCTTGCATTTCTGCATGATTGTCCAGCTTCCACTTATAAGTCTCCACAGATGGCGCTGTTGTCACGGCCGCCGGTAAAGCGTTCCAGAGACGACAAACTCGAAGCGAAAAGAAATGTGAACGCACTCGAGTCTTTGGTGTCTGATGTGCTATCCGTAGCGGGTTACGTCGTGGAAGCCTATAATCACTTAATGGCAGGATGCTTTTATTAGGGTGGGCCTGGTCATTTAAGATCCTATAGACGGTGATGAGGTCTCCCCTATGACTACGGTAATTAAGTGTGAAAAGACTTAATTTCTTCAGTCTGTCCTCATATGATTTGTTGCGGAGGCCGATCACCCATTTTGTCGCTCGTCTCTGGACACTTTCTAGAATGTTAGCATCCCTTTTGAGTAGCGGAGGAGCAATGATATTATGCACCTCAAGGAGTGGCCTCACGTATGTCGTATACAACCTTAAGAATAGTTCGGGAGTAAGAGCTTCCAGCTGCCTATGCATAAAGTGTAAAGTTGCGTAAGCTTTGGCGACGTCCCTCGTGTAATTTACACTGGTGTCTAGCTTTTATGCTAAAATAAGACCTAGGTCGCGTTCTGATGTCACACAACTCAAGTTCTGGCCACCAAGGGTGTAATTTGCACTCTGTGACCTGCCGGAATGAAGTTGCACTACTTTACACTTCTTTAGGTTGAAAGGCATTCCGTTAGCCAGAGCCCAGTCTCCCAGAGTTTGCAGGTCAGCCTGCAATCTGTCGGAGTCTTCCGATGAGTTTATTGCTCTCCAAATCTTTACGTCATCAGCTTAAAGAAGCGCAGAGCAGTTCAGTTAAAAGGGCAGGCCGTTGATAAAAATAAAAAACATCAACGGCACTAAGATAGAACCCTGAGGAACCCCTGATGCCGAGGTGTGCCAGGATGATCGGATGCGGTTGACTTTGGTGCAGAATTCTCTCTCGCCTAAATAATCTTCCAGCCATGCGAGAAGTGCTCCAGAAATACCCGCCTTGCTTATTTTGTGAAGGAGCACACCATGGTGAACTGTGTCGAATGCCTTTGCAAAGTCGATAAAGATCACATGGACTGGTACCTTTACGTCCCAGGATAGTGTACAATCGTTCCAAGCTAGTAGAAGATTCGTCACACAGGATCTTCCCCTCCTGAAAACATTGCTGAGCTTCATGGAGTAGGTTAGCCTCGTCGAAGTATTTTCTCACGTGGTCGTCAATGAGACTTTCCAATATCTTCGATATCACTGGAAGTAGCGCAACTGGTCTGTAACTGGTCGCATACTGCCGGTCACCACCCTTGAAGATAGGCGATAGGATGGCTCGTTTCCATTCACATGGAAGTTTCCCTACATCAAAGGAGTATTGAAACAGATCACTTAGGGGTTGGCAGAGACTTTCTGAACACTGCTTCAGGACGGATGGTCTGATGTCATCACAACCTGCAGACTTTCCCGAAGTGAACTTTCTAAATTTCACGAGTACCATAGCCGGAAAATTTGAGATGTTTTCGCGAGTTGATTTTACATTGTAATCTCGATGTTTTGCGGGGGTGAATTCCTCGTTAATGTTCAGTTGCCTGTGAAAGGCTAGACTGAATGTCTCTGCCATTTCAAGATTAGCAAGAGATTTCACATCAGAACCCACTAGATTGCAAGCGCCACGGTTGGTCGGTTTTCTATCAGACATAAACCAGTATAGGCTCTTGAGGTTCATGAGAAGTTTATTAGCGAGGTTTCTCCGAAATGTCCTTCTATCACTCCGGACTCGTATGTTACATCGATTCCTGAGTTCAAGGTACACTTCGTGTTCGTGTTGACTCTTCGATACTCGCCACGCAAACCAGGCTTTTCGCTTCGCCTGTAGAAGGCGTTGTGTCCCCCCTTTAAGCCATGGACGTTGCTTTCTAGCTTTTGGTATGACTAAAGGAAGAGTGTCTGGGACCGCCTGGTGAATGATCTCCTTTACCACTCCCCAGTGTTCTTCTACTGTAAGCTCTGTCCAATTTTTTGGCGAATTCGCTTCAGAAAATAGTCTTCCCATTTTGGTGTAATTGGCTATGTTATAACACAGATAGGGCTGTGTATTGTCCCACTGTAAACGCTCGCGGAGGACTATGTCGAATGTTATGACCACGTGGTCACTACTACCTATGGGAGTCGTGATATGAACGTTTTCCACTAGTAGCTGGTCACTAGTGAGCACAAAATCAGGTCCAGAAAACTTAATATTTAGGCTTATTCCAGTATCCATCCTGATATTTTCAGTGAAACCAGAATTCCCAATGGCAAGCAGAAGAATTCGATAAAAACTATCATATCCGTACCCCTAAATCAAGTAGAGAAGTGGCTCAGTGAAGTCGTGAAGGTAGACACAACTTTAAGCGTGCTGCTACCGTGTGGCTTCGAACTGCATCAAATCATGTCCATACAAACACAATGAATATCGACGATGCCACACCACTGGTGACGAAGGTGAATGTTGTCAGGCAGGTTCGCCAACCAAAGTCCAGACGCCGACACACATAGACTGCGCAGGCAAAACAACGGGGGTCTCAGAACAAAACTGGATCTCAGACCAGAAGGCAATCCTGTCGCGAGAGATCCCAGACGGTACGATTTCAAGTTGATCGAAAGGAAAAGAGGTACCAATTTTATCGTACACGTTCGTGTTCTTCTCTTTGACAGTGAGGGCCGGTGATAAATTCACCCACATTTTCTACATGTGCTGTCACACGTCTGGTTGTATTTCTGTCAGCCCAAGTATGACCTGGAAATCCCATTGGTTGTTGGCTGTTACCATTTATCAATGTGATTATTGTCTCTCGGGGTCATTTGAATGATACACGTACGCGAGCGCTGTCAGTCATTCTCAGTGTTGGTATGAGACAGTGGAAGCTGTCCACGTCAACGGTCTGTCTTCTTGAATCGCGCTTTCGGTGGTATCGTATCGTGTTGTTGCTGCTAATAGCGGATAGAACAATAGGCTGGCGAATCGACTTTTGTGGGAAATTCGTTGGCACAACCACAGGTGTAATAATGGTCATGTGAAAATTGGTGCAAGGCTTTTAGTGGAAATGGACGCTTCACGCTTAGAGAAACTGATGAAGCAGCTTGCAAACGTGATGGAGTTGCTTGCAGGTCTACGGATATCATCCTGTGATGCTTCATCTCCAGCTAATGACAATATTGGTAGCAGCATTTCTCAATTTGTGTATGACCCAGATGCAAAGCTTTCTTTCGATAATTTGTTCCCCTTTTTTCCTCTATGTTTGTTTTAGATACAAATTTTGCACATATGTGCGGCATTTGATATAGCCGCGCTCAATATACCACACAAATTAATAGCATTATGTTGGAGAATTACATAATATATACAGTTAGCATAGGTGTGGGTCATAGGTAAAATAATATCGAAGAACGATAAATTGTAATTGGAAATCATATTTCACAATTAGTGATTACATCTGTGTCACTGAGAACGAATTTGAACCATGTCACCAATTGTTTCCAACCATTGGTTTTTACCGTCCCGAGGACCCCAACCAGGAAGTCTACACCTTCCTACGTGGCTTAGACTAGCTGTTGTGTATTTCATTGACTAGTGCCATGTTTCCGTTCGACCACTGCTACTTTTTTTCAGCCTGACCCGTCGAGGAAGGCGATGACTAGGCATACGTAATACATGTCCTAACTATCTAGGTTGATGTAATTTCACAGTCTCGTCGATTGATTTCCCCTCCAACTTACCTAGCACTCGACTGATGCCTAACCTCAATATTGCTCACCTTATTACACCACTTCACACGGGAGATAGAACGCAGACACCTATGATCGAACACAGCTAATCCTTTCATGTCTTCCACTCTCAATGGCCAGGTCTCACAGCCATAAAGGAGGACGGAGTGGACTGTTGAGCAGTACACACGCCCTTTGGTCGATAGTCGGATATCACGTCTACGCCAGAGACAGCGTAAACTTGCATATGCGAACCTAGCCCTCTGTATTCGTGCTGAAATTTCGTCGGAGATCAACCCGTTGGGGCTGATGGTACTTCCCAAGTAAGTCAAGCGGTCAACGTGCTCTTCCACTTCACTTCCTATTTCTAATCTAGGGGTCGGTTTAGTCCAATCCAGCAACACCATCTTACATTTTACAGGGGCGAATCGCATGTCAAACATATGAAGATTGCTGCTCAAGGTGTTCAGAAGACTCTGCATTTTGTCAGCGTCCTCGCCTGGAAGGACTATATCGTCTGCATATTCTAAGTCAACGAGATTATTCCCTGGTAGCAAGTCAATCCCTGAGTCTCTGAAGTGAGTTAGGGTTAAGTCAATTAGTACGTCCGTGATGAAGTTGAATAGAAATGGGGATAATGGGCATCCTTGACGGACGCCACTAGTCGTCACCACTTCAGATGACAACTCGCCATAAGCCCTCACCTGGCTGCATGAGTACGAGTAGAGTGCCTTAATCGGTGTAATGTATTTTCTCAGCATCCCCTTTACAGCCAGGCATCGCCAGAGAACC